ATTGGTATGTTCACATCACATTACATTTATAATGAATGTTATATAAAAAAAGTCGCATGAAAATATTTAAAAACTACAATATTCCTAAACCAATTACTTTTTAATTCATTGGTAATAAGATAAAATAAAGAACATATTTAGGTAATTTTGAATTTGCATAATTTTTGAATTAACGTTACATTTAAAAGGGAACTTTTTTTTAATGCCTTGATAAAGCATTTCCTTTGTAGAGGTGAACTTTTAGTACTGATCTAATATATTTATAGATTTTAAACTGAGAAAGACAACAATAATAGATTACATACATTGCAAGATTGCTGATAAATGTAAAATTTTACATATCATATTATTGTGTACTAAACAGATTTTTAAACAGAGTTGCTCGATTAACTTACATGCAAATAATAATATAATATTTTCTTTAACATGTTTGATGAACTTAATTTTAACAAATGAATATATATATATATTTGTGTATTATATGAAGACATGAATAATATTGTGACAAACCATTCTTCAAGAAAATAACAAAAGTCAACTTTGTAACTATTGGAAAAAGTTTTTCTACAATATCCTCTGGTTTATTTTAACAATTTTAAAATTTTAGCACACTCATTAAAAATAATCTAAATGTATGATGTTTTCTTTGCGCTACCCGTTTACTGAATTTGGTAATTAACTATATTGTACTTTGATAGAAATTAACGTAGATATTCCAAGTATTTTACGGTACAAAACTATATTTGTAATTGATCCAATCTTCCCTATGTTTTCTTTGCATATGTGAATGACTTGTAAAATTTAGTCCGATGTCTTCTCTTTACTGTGTAGAAGTGCACATTTTTGTAAAAAAATTGCAAAAATTACTTACCTTTAACTGCATTTTCGTAAATGTGCTTAAGAATAATATCTCATTTTTGCAAAAAATATTTTTATCTCATATTTTTGCAAACAAATATGAGATTATGCAAAAAATATGAACATTTTTCCATCCATGCAAAATTTCTGCATATTTTGATTAAAAGATAAAATGTCATTTTTTATATCAAATTTTTACATATCCACCTTTTATATCACAGCATATGGAATATATATAAGTGGAATTTAAATGCAAAAAAATTATTATATTGAAAAATTACGTACACAAACGTAAGGCTGAAAATCACTTTTAATATTTCAAAGTGACTACAAAATATGCAATAAATTTTGTAAACCTGAATTCTAAGTTTTAAATAAATTAATGCTATCATTCATTTACATTTTTGTTTACTAAATTAATTTCATAAATTTAAACTTAGTAAACAACTGTAGCAAACAGTTGTTTACTAAATTCATTTTTGCTAAATAACACTTTAAATACATTATTGGGCACATTTTCTTATGCCATAAATGCCAAAACATAGAATTGATGTTTACGAAATTTATTGCATATTTTGTAGTCGCTTTGAAATGAAATATTAAAAGTGATTTTCAGCCTTAAGTGTTATGTAATTTTTGAATAGAAATTAATTCTTTTTGCATTTCCTAGTGCATTTAAATTTTCCAGATATATATATTCCATATTGCTGTACATAACTAAAAGGCAGATATGTAAAAATTTGATATAAAATGACATTTTACCTTTTAATCATAGCATAGATTGCAAAGATTTATATAAAAAATATGAGATTAAAATAAGTACATTTTATGAAAAATTCAGTAAAAAGGTAACTGGAGATTTACGCAAATTTTTTACCAAAAATGTGCATTAATACACAGTAAAGAGGAGAAGACATTGGATTAAGATTTTAACACATTCGCATATGCAAAGAAAACATAGGGAAGTTTTAGGTCAATTACTATCAATATATACTTGTTACCGTAAATTGGGAAATATCTACGTAGTTTCTATCAAATATATACGTTTTTGTACCGTAAAATACGGGGAATATCTACCTTAATTTCTATCTAATATATACGTTTATATACAGTAAAAAATCGGGAAGATTTACGTAAATTTTTACCAAATACATACGCATACGTGAAGCAAAGAATTGAAGAGATTTACACATATGCGATAAATATACGTAAATTTTTACTAAAAATGCACGTAAATCCCTGAAATTTATGTATATTATACGTAAACGTTATGAATGAACAGCAGTCTCTCTCGTAAATATACCTAAATTTTACGTAAAAGTTACGTATAGTATAACTTAAAAGTACAGTAAGACCCCACTTAGCGCTGTTTCGGTTTAGCGCTCTTTTATTTCAACCCAGGGATTCCCCGAAATTGTGCGCAGCGCTAAGTTTCCAAATAACATATCCGAAACAATGTAGTTGTGTTTCTTGTTTGGTGTGATGCTGTACGGACGCAATTTTATCATTTGAAACATTTGTTGACATTATTGTAAGTATAAATTTATATAATATTATGATCTTAAGTTTTTATCATGGGTGATAATAAAAAACAAGAAAAGAAAGCAACGAGAAAAAGGCATTTCACTGGAAACTTAAATGCAAGTGATTAGAAGATTAGATTCTCGTGAACGTCAATCTCAAATTAGTGCTGAATTGAATTTGGCAACTTCAACAATGAGGACAATTCTTAAGAATAAAGAAAAAATACTGTCATCGGTAACTGCAACTACGTCGAGCTCTGCATAGAATTACCCATTCTAGAAATAACATTATAGAGGAAATGGAAAAACGACTGTCTATATGGATTGACGACGAAATTGAACGCAATATGCCATTAAACCAATCTATCTTAATGGAAAAAGCTAGAAGAATTTTTAATTACATTCAGACTGAGACAAATGACATAAGTGAAACTTTCGTTGCTAGTCGAGGAGGGTTTAATAAATTTAAACATCGAAATAATCTACGCAACATGAAGATTACAGGAAAAGCAGCAAATGGTGATACGAAAGCGGCGGCTGAATTCCCAGCGACATTAAAAACCATAATTGAACAAGGAAACTATCCTCCAGAATTGGTTTTTAATGTTGATGAAACAGGCCTGTTTTGGAAAAGAATGCCAAAACGAACATTTATATCCCGTGAAGAGAAACGAGCACCTGGATTTAAAGCTGCGAAAGATTGCTTAACCCTTCTACTGGGTGTTAACGCAAGCCGAGATTTCAAATTAAAACCACTACTAGTTTACCACTCCAAAAACCCCAACCCCCCAGAGAGAGATATGAAGGGCATATCTAAATCAACTTTACTTGTAATTTGGGAGTCTAATAAAAAATCATGAATAACTATGAAAATTTTCCAGGATTGGGTTCACTGAACATTTCTGCCAGTCTGTTAAACGTTGTTGTGAAATTAAAAAACTTGAACAAAGAGCACTACTATTAATTGATAATGCTCCAAGCCACCTAACAAATTTATCAGACTTAACAACATGCATTCCAGTTGAAGTGGTTTTCTTGCCGCCTAACACAACTGCCTTAATCCAACCAATGGACCAAGGCGTTATATCCAGTTTTAAGGTTTATTGCTTGCGGTGAACCTTTAAAACAGATGTTTGAAAAAACAAACGGAGAAGAGAAGCAATCAATAAGAAAATTTTGGAAAAATTACAATATCATGAATGCTGTAGAAAACGTAAACCTTTCTTGGAATGAGATAACAGAAAGATCTTTGAAAGGAGTATGGAAGAACATTTGGCCAGATTTAAGTAAGAGCGAAGACATTGGACACTCTGTCGATATGGATGAAATAGTGGAATTAGCGAAACAAACCGGTTTAGATGAGGTAAATGTGGAAGACGTCGAAGAAATAGTTCAAGAAACAGTCTTTCTAATGATGAGCTCAAGGAATTAAATGAGCAAGAAGAAAAAAAAATATTGATAGTAGTGATATCGAAGAAGAGCAAAAAGAACTTTCGATCGCGTTCCTAAAAAGGAGTTTGACCACTATAACTGAAATTATAGACCAATTTGTTAAAAATGATCCAAATTTTGACAGGAGTTCAAAAACAAGACGGGGTGTTATAGATACTTTATCCACTTATCAACAACTTCTAACAGAATGCAAAAGGAAAACGCAAACTACATTAGATGCCTTCTTGACAAAAAGGCAGAAAATTGGAAACACAGAATTGACTGAATGATCTGACTGAGAATTTTATTTGTTTTTATAAGTATATTCGTTTATATTGTTTTTATTTTTGTAAGAAATAAATATTTGGTTTTATTTTTATTAAAAAATTATTAAATTTAATACCTAACCAATTTTTCTATCCATCTTCCCCTAACTCTATTATTAACATGTTAAGATAGCCTCGTTTAGCGCTGTTTCGCATTATGCTCTACTTTGATGGAACGTATCCTCTGCGTTAAGCGGGGTCTTACTGTATACGTAAATATCTAGTATTTGCTACTGGACACTTTTTATGATATTTTTACGTTCAACTTGAACGTTTTTTATACGAAGGGCCATTCGTAAATTGCACGTATTTTTCTCGTGCAATTTACGAATGCATGCTGCCTGTGTCTGACATAGATCATAGGAACTAAAATAGACAATGGGTATTAAGTCTAAAAGTGAATTCACAATCATAACCATGAGGCAACAGTGTCAACTTGGACATATGCACATGGAATGATAATGGTTGAAGCTCATTCTAACATAATCTAACAGTTAAGAAATATTGGATAAACTCTGCTAAGGATGTTTCTTAAGTCAATAATCCATTACAGAAGTGAAAACTTAACTGATGTTTAAACATTCATTCTGTATATACTGAAGGATGTTTTTCCCGATATGAATTAAATATGCTTTTAAACATATAATGTTCCCCAAATTATTATTTTTAGCTAGTTCTCCTGGGTAAATTACAAATGCTCACTTCCCAAGTGCAAATAAAGAATTGGAGTATCCCTAACATTGTTATTTTTTATTACAATAATCATGTTCTGTGCAGTGTCAAACGGAATTTAAGAAACTAAAGCACAATTGAAATAACTGTAATTTTAAAGTAATATGCAATAAAAATGAACAGAAGCATATATGATAAACATGTCAAATATGACTTTAATAGTTTTATGCCTATGACTTACAATCATGAATTTAAAACATTTATTTAATGCAAATTTAATTTATAAAAATTAAGTATAAAAGACACAAAAATGTCCATAAATAAAATACATAAAGAATGCATATAGATAAAACTTTCCATAAACAATATAATGTATGGATACAATTTAAAACTTTGGAGCCTAATTAAATTTTAGGTTTTCCCTAAGATTTCTGTTCTGATGAATACTGAAAAACTACCTTTTTAATTAATTAAAATTTTCAAAAATTAATAAAAGTTATAACAAGTTTATAGATTAAAAACATAATAATGTTAAAAAATTTTTGAAGCAAATGCATGTAACTATGAAAAAAATTAAAAAACAATGCTTGAAAATTTTACATGGTAATTTATTTATAAATTTACAAAGATTTATTACTTTTAAAAAAAACAAAAAAAATTCAAATAAATACCTTAGTAGTTCACAATAATGCAATATTTCTACCTTTGAACTCCAATTTTTCATTCATCTAGTAACTTATATTTAAAGATACCAAATTCTGAATTCGAAAATTCATTCTCTTCACATAAATTCCAAAATTTATACTCATAAAAATATATGTATTATCAAGCAAGAATAAAAACTTTCTTAAAAGTATTTTGACACTGATATAAAAAATCATTTCAAATCTTTGAGCAAGAAACTCTAAATTTGATTTCAATACTTACAAAAATTATATTCCTATACAAAAATAGAGATATTCATGACTCATAAAAATATTTTTTACATCTATAAAATATGCTGTATAAATTTTATTTCAAATCTCTTTAATCAAGATTAGCACCTAAGACACATCATATTATCTTACTAAGATTCATATAGAAACATAGAAATGTTGCCTCACTATGGTTGAGATGAAGTTTTAAGTATTGAAATTAATTGAGATATTATATCATTACTCATATTATCTATAGGTATCACAATATTTGGCTGTTTAAGAGTAGAATAATAATTTCTTAAGCTGCAACATGACATCTGGCCACATCTTGGAATGTAATGGTCATGAAAATCATAACAGTGATTCTTCATTGAACAGCAATGAACAGCATTACAGCCTTCCTGAAACTGAAATCTGTTTGTGGGATTGCCATAAATATCAGAACTTTCCTTCTGTGCATATCTATAAGATGAGTTTTTTTCTTGATTGCATTTACAATTCATATTTGAAAAATTATTACAACAACATGAGTTCAGTACTCTTGGATGCATGCTATGTGCATATGCAGCACCATTACTTGCAAAAACTTGATGATTTGAACAATCAGTATGTGGTGGTAATCCATCAGCAGCAAAGGAAGTACTTTTTTCAGCTAATAATTCTTCAAAAGATGATGTAAGCTGTTGAATTTTATTCATTAATATTTTAATACTATTAGAATCAAATCCTGCAATTTCATTAACAGGATCAGTTTGAATTGCTTGTGCTATAAAAGTAGGATCAGCAACTTTGTTTTTGTTTTTTCTATGCCTAGCTTTTCTTGGAATTGCACCAAGGGCATTTTCATTCTCAGCTAGCACCAAGTCACTACTGGAACTATTATTTTTACATGAAATACCTTTCCCTGCTTCCTCCTCATTAACATGTTGCTGAACCTTTTTTTGAAGAATTTCATTCCCTTTGTGACATACATTTAGATTTTTTAAAGTATCTCGCTCTACATTTTTATTCCCAATTAATATTAAATCACTTCTTGAATAAGTATTACTGCATGAAACACTATTTCCCATTCCTGTTTCTCTAATGCATTGCTGAATGTTTGCTTGCAACATAGATTCTTCTGTTAAACTGCTTACATTAATCTTACCTTGACAATTATCTTTAATATCTCCATTTCCAAATATTACCAGATTATTCAAAGAATTTTCTTCAATATAACTGTTTCCTACTTCTTTATTTTTCATTTCTTGCACCATGCTTTTTATTGGAGTTTCATATGTTGATGGCCTTATAATGTTAGATAACGGAATAGGGCTGGATGTAGAAGTGCCATTAAGTAGTGGACTGTTATTTTTCACATGATCTTCTCCATAACTGGTATTTAAAGATGCCTGAGCATTAGTTTCAAGAGAACAGCTACTTCCTACAACAGGATTGATAAACATTGGATTTTGTGTGGAATCTGTATTACTACTCTGCTTTTTTTCAGAAAGTGAAGTTGAATACATTAATTTGTTTGCTAAATGCTTAACTGCATCAGAGCATTGTCCTTGAATATTTTTAAATTCTTCTAATTTGTCTGCAGCAGAGCATTGTTCTTGATTAGTTTTAAGCTTTTCAGAAATATTTTCAATTCCATTACTATTATCTTTTATAGCACATAAAGACCCATTAGCTTCATTCAAATTAATGCCAGTAGACATATTTCTACTATAATTACAAAAAACAGCAGTATCGCATGGTGAAAATAATAAATTTTGCTCAATAGATGACTCTGGTAATTTTTGCCAAACAAAAAAACCTCCTCGACAGGATAATACTGGTAGACACCCGAACTGCTCAATAAAAGATTCGGGAAACATTACAGGAAGCCTATCTTGATAGACAGTAGGTTTATGCAAGAATTTTCCAGGAAATTTCATGAGTATATTTGCCATTAAAGTACAACTAGGTTTAGTATCAATGCAAAATAACAAAGATTCAAGCTTCAAAGCTGAAAAAAATTCCTGAAAAATAAAAATTCCATTTTAATTAAAAAGAAAAATATATTTCTAATATATGCATTATAAACTGTCACAAATATACATCCATCTGTAATTAATTATTCACAAGCCAATTATTTTAGAAGGTAGTACTGAATATTTTCTTGACGCTCTTGACACTGTGGATCTTGGAATAAAAATTTTCATCAAATATCATCTATTAATTTTAAAACAACAAGCTGTTTTATATTTAAAATCAGAATTTTCTTTCTGGGCATAGCTGTAATATCAATCTTTATAGTGAGCGATAGGTTGTAAGATCTATAATTATATAACTTATAAGATCAATAAGTTTTCATTTCTTGATTACATTTACTATTCATATTTGAAAAATTATTAAAACATGAATTTATTTCTCATAGTCATTGAGAAGGATACTATATACCAGTATCATAAAGTTGAACATTTCTGTAACTTAAGTATATACTACTGTTATTTGCTTGTTATTATACTGTTATTTACTGTTCTTAAGTATATACTACTGTTATATTAATATTAAAAATTAAGGGTGCATTTTCATTTAAATAACCCCAAAAAGAGTAAACTTTGTCTCTAGCAAGATGTTTCAGTACCAGGGTGCTTGTAGGAGGTGCAGGATACACAAAGAGGACTAAGGATTACACAACAATGTATGGTTGGAAATGATACATGCTTGCGATACTGCAGACAGAAAATACCAGAAATGAAAGAACAGCATATAATTGAGTACGTGTTTTAATATTAAATTCGCATTCACAAATATAACAGAGATCAAAGAAGGAGACTGAAATGTTTATATTGAGCCTATAATAATACAGACCTTGTATCTCTGACACATGGAATTTTTGATATTCTGGAAAATTACAGTCATGTCCCAGATTCCCTAACAGCTACTGCAATGCATGCAACTAATTTGTCTGCATCATCAGCTGATGGACATCAGCTTATGGTCTTCGTATGGTTCTAGAAATAACCAAGCAAGACAGATTAGCAGGCCAATGCACTAGACCATCATGATCAATTCAGTGTTGGCCAAATGAAAGTTCTAAGGCTCCTTAAATGTAATTGGTAGTAACTGTAATCCTTAATGTAACTGGTAGATTACAATATAATAGATATGACTGGCTGTTAGAAGAACCAAAGTTACTATTGGGAAGGAGAAGCCTAGAATCCAATTATAATATGGCAGATAATAATTCTTACCATTTAAATTTCTCTCTCTAGATTTCATTCCCCTCTTATCAAATGCCCTTTAAGTAAGAGAATTTTTGCCTTTGCCAGAGCATGCTCTTGCGATGTACTTGACAAAGTGTCCAGCTCATAATCATGAGATCTGGAGTTAAAAACCATTTTATTCTTTGCAGCTTAAAAACTTAAGACTTTATATGGCACTGCTAATCCTCGAAAAGAGACACTTGCATGCAAAATATACATACAGCACGCAAAATATTTTGTAAAGCTATTTTTCAGACCAAGACAATGGCAAATAAACAAAATTGATCCCATTATTTAACTTAATAACCCATTAAATTTTTAATTACAATAAATTTAATTTCAATAGTTTCAGAAATTAAAGATTCGATACATTTATATTTAAATAGCAATAAAAAAAGAGGAAAAAAAATTATCAAAAGTGCAACTAAATTTAGTGGTGCCATCTTAAAAAATAAGTAACTAATCAGAAGTGGTAAAGTGCATACTACATCATTACCAAAGATTTTTAATGAGACTGAGATGTGCAGTCACATTTTACATAATATTTTACTCTCTGTATCTTATATAAGTGGTCACAGATTCAAATTACATGTGGGCTGAACACATGATCTGAAAGCAGTTGTTAGGACAGAACATTTACAAAATTTAAAAACATTCTGAACAGCAAAAATATTTAATAATAATGATAATTCAATTTTAAATTTTACTCACTATATATTTATCAAATATAAACAATAATAATGCAAAGGGGAAAAACCCTAATTTATATTTATTTTTGATTGGAAAAGTTGGTATCTGCAAGAAATTTCTTTTGGTTATACCTTTGTAATGCAAAGATATTGAAAGGCAGAGGCTGAAGCAAGGTTGGCACTTGTGCATCCATCCAGGCATATTAAATATCGCTGGGCTTTGCTAATTGCTAAGATCTTACCCTGGATGGAATTCTAAGGAAGAACAGTCTATAGGTAGTCTGAACGTCTTCCCCCCCCCTCTTTCCCTAAAACTAGTCTCTCAAAAGCATTTTGACTTGGCAAGTATTTTGAGTGCCTCCTTGCAGCACAGATACTATATGCTTACAAACATTCATGTCTTCTCTGAGAATCCAAACCAGGCCCTTTGTTACTGCATTTAATGTTACCAATCACTACTCCATCTGGGTAGCAAAACATACTGAGAGCTAAATATCAAATTTTACACTTTTTTACAATTTTATAGAGACACATTTATTTCAGGTAATTTCAATATGTTGAGTAGCCATTAACTAATTATTAACTTAAGCCAGAAAACTGGAAAAACACCTGAATACTGAAGCTCCATCAGCTGGCAAACTTAATTTACAGATTGTATCGTGCGAAATTCTCCAAGCTTATCCCAGTCATACGGCCTGGCATGCCAGCATTGTTGAGAAATACTTGTTGACACTGACAAAAGATTGCATTACAACACCTTCCCTTCTGGACATGTGACTATGTAAAAATTGATGATTCAATCTTCTTTGTTTTAGAATTCAAACTCCAGTGCTCAGTATAATAGAATGCTAGAAATATTTGATGGAACTATAGAGTTCCCCCTCATTCAGGATTCAAACAAAGGAGCCGAGCTTATAAGTACCACTGCAACACAGTATGCATTCTCTTGCTCATGCCTGATTAACCCATCTCTTTGCTTAGCTGTATTCTCCATCTATTTAAGAGGTAAGTGCACATGTAAAATTGTGGGGTGCACCTAGCACCCCTAGTGCTGTATCAATCAAAAAAATATATATATGTTTCTAAAGAACAGTTCCTGTTCAAGAAATAAAAATGGATATTTATCTTCATGATGGGTGCAGCTGCATTGTTATACATTGTAATGCCATCACCATTCTACTCATGACTGCTAAATTAACTGGGGTCATCTCTCAACCCATCCCATGCCATGCAACTAATTCTTTAATTCTCATTTTGTTTCAATTTAGCCACATTGTGCATTGGCTGGCAAGAATCTAATTAATTAGCACTCTGTACGAAGACTGCTCAAGGTAAGCAAGCCTCTTTTAATAACTTATTAAAATGGAACAGATGACACTGAATAAAAAATTAGCACATCAATGTGCTTCTGTAATATAAATTATTAAAAATGTAGATGAATATTTAAAAGAAAGACAGGAAGAGTAGAAAATTGTTTGGAATTGTTACACAATAAAAAAATAGAACTACACAATATAAATAAAAAAAAAAGAAACTGACTGAAGATAAATTAGAGCAAGATATTAAACTTCTAGGGAGTAAAATGATAAAATAATAATAATGAAGTCTAAAATCAACCATTATTTAAAGAAATTCAAAACTGAACATGTGAAAATGAACTTAAATTATCCATCTATGGAAGCTGAAACCAAAAGACAGATTGAAGATAATGTGAAATTACGTAATTGTCAATTCACAAATTTTATGGAGAATTTTTGGAATTCAGAGTTACAATTCCCGATAATGCTACGTTTTCGATAATTGCAAAATTCATTTGTTTGAAAAACCTATTATGTGGACATGCAAAGTCGACCATCAAAGGTCTCTTAATTTTAGAAGCCAATTATGATTTGGCCATAAGCATTCTTTAAAATAGATTCGGTCAAAATGACTTAATTATCAATATATACAAATCTCTAACCTCGTAAATTTAAATCCCTTCAAAGTTCAAATAAAGTGATAACACTGCAAAAACTTTATGATACAATTAACATTCAAATCAGAAGTCTTTAATACTTGATGTAAAAACAGAAACACATTCCAACATGTTTATTCCATTCAAATTTGATGGAAATTGTTCCAAAACAATATAATCTTAGAATTTCATCATATAAATGATGAAAATTCTTCAACCTATGATTTAAGCAAATTTCTAAACTTCTTTGATTAGAAATAGAAATGCCAGAGAATATAAATTTTTTATCTTTTCCAAGCATACTTAAGCTGGAAATTAAGAGTATTACAAGACATCCACCTGCAATGAAATAAAAGCAAGCTTTCACCACAAATGAATTTATGGCAGCCACAGCATCAAATCAAAATTGCATTTTTTTCACAGTCATGACTTAGAATCATGTACAATGCTTTTAATGAAAGAAATATTTTTAAAAATAGGCATGTTGTTTTCTGCATCTTGCATTTAAAAGACAGAATTTTGGAATGCTGACAACAGGAAACCAAAGTGTATAAAATTTGCAAAGACAAACAATTGGAAGCCATATGTTTTATTTAAGTCCATTTTGACAATTGAAAATGTAGCAACTGATAAAAGGGATTTTCATCATTACTGAAAAATGATTTACGAACTAAACAGCAGAATGCTGAAATTGATTCAGCTGTTTTACATTGTGTAAATAACAAATTTTACAAGCCTGCACTATAAAAGTTAAAACAGGAAAGGAAAAGTTTATTAAGACTTCTCTTGGATAATGGAAGGATGAAAAGTTTTTGCACTTGCAAAGTTAGCAAAGAAATTAAACCTCGAAGTCATAGGAAAAGAAAAATTGACTGTCTACACTTTTGGCAACGCCTTATCCATTCAAAAGAATTTTGATGTGGTTAAATTACGTCTAGTACAGTCAAAAGTCGTTAATTCAGACACCCATAATTCGGAATGATCTATAATCCGGACATCAAAACTAAAAACTTTCTGCGCATGCGCCGCGTTGACACATGCGCATAGGCGTTTACGCATGCGCGTAAGACCTTTTACGACTGCACATATCAGCTTTTTACGACTGCGCAAGTGCAGAATACGTTTTC